AAAACTGAAGGCAGGTCAACTCCGCTGGGAGCGCGAGCCATTCCCCAGGCATTCTTTAGAGGAGGCGTTGGCTTGACCTGCAGTCAATATGGCAATAAAGAAAAAAAAACAGTTGTGGCGTAGTTGGTTAAAGCAACACATCCAAAACTGGTGATGACAGTGGTTCAAGTCCCATTGCAGTCATCACTCTTTTTTTTTTTCGTGCATGTATTGTTTTAACATTTGCGCCTCCTCATCAGCCTGACTTGCTGCTGCTGGTGGTCCCGTCCACAGACCCTTTAATTTTGGATCTTTGAAGACTCTCGCAGGATTCACTATATTTATAATGATAAAGTGTTTTGCGAATTAGTGCTCTTAATCGGCGTGACGCAGATTTGGGTACACGTTAAAGAACCCCAGGTGGTGTAAATTTCCGGAGCCCTCCACTACGGCGTCTCTCATAATCATATAGTGGTTTTGGGATGTTAAACCCCACATATCAATCAATCGCTCAGTGTACCATCACCTGACGAGGTGACCGGCAGGCCGCTTCAAAATACTGACGTGTCACTGCAATGTTCTAGGCGATCAGCACTTGATAAACGATGCCCGAGAGCAAGTGCCGACGGCGTTAGCCCATCTAACTACAACAAAAGCTTGTCTACCTAGCTGAATAACATGCATGGCCTGTGACAGCACGGGAGCATTTACGTAGCTACGGATGAGAACGGCCATACGCGTTCGCACTTGACAAAACAGCTGGCAATGCAGTAGCTCTGGCCTTCGGAGATCACGGGCTTCGTAAGAACCCTACAATAAAGTTGTTTCCATCCATCGTATGAACACTTCGCCGACGCACTGGGGTTTCATGCATGTGCGCCCGGTCAGTCACACGTGAACTGTGCGAAAGCATTTATTTCATCGTCGACCTAGCCCTTCGCGACAAGCAAAACTCGACAGCAAGAACACTTTCACCTTTGACAGCACCACGCTTGACATTGCAATCTAGAAAATGCAGTACGTCCAACAACAATAATCCGCACTTCATACTGAGAAACTTTATGGCACACACACTCAGTTGAAGCTGCGGCAAGGTGGACGGCCGCGCTAGCTCCAACCACCAGGTTCAACTAAGCATCCAGCAATCACATGAAGCAGCGACGACACTCCAGTCCTCCTTGGGAGTGGCCTAGGCCATGGCCAAGATTTCATCGGAGTTTTTACCATCAACATATTGCAGGCGGCTACTATCTCGCAGTGTTTACCTTTCACAGCCGCAGCGCCCAAGGCGCCCCCTGTATTCAAAATACTAGTAGTATGTATTTAAATAACAAACCTAAACTAACTGACTCGTTCAACACCTGCTTAGTAAAAGTTTTGTAGGTTTAACGCATTACGCACGAATATTTCACACATTTATGTAGCTTTAAGTAATAATTTTTTAAGTGACGTCACTTTCGTGCGGCGCAGAAGCCACTTTTGTGTGGGGATGGCTGCTGCGCGGCGCAGAAGACGCTGCCTTGCATTTTATAACTAAGGTATTAGTATTGCACACTGAGAATGGATGTCACAGTAGCAGACAAAATGTGCTGCATTTGTACGTTTTACAAGATTATAAGCAGCACCACATTTGTGGACTTGGATGGTGACCATTTCAGTTCGAACTGCATCGGTCGACGATTGCCCCGCCGCGGTGGTCTAGTGGCTAAGGCACTCGGCTGCTGACCCGCAGGTCGCGGGTTCAAATCCCGGCTGCGGCAGCTGCATTTCCGATGGAGGCGGAAATGTTGTAGGCCCGTGTGCTCAGATTTGAGTGCACGTTAAAGAACCCCAGGTGGTCAAAATTTCCGAAGCCCTCCACTACGGCGTCTCTCATAATGATGGGACGTTAAACCCTCATAGCAATCAATCATTGGTTGATGATTCAGCGGCTTTAGCTAACGGTTCTCTGCAGAAAGTGTGCACATGTACTTAGTTACGCTGTATAGAGTACCTCGTACTCTAAATTGTTACACCCACTTTTTTTAAACACACTTCTCTACCTTTTGGGGTACGACGGGACGCCTTTCAGCTCTCCCATAGTGTATTACCGAATACTCTAGATCATTAACCACTTTTTTTAAACCCAATGCGAAGGGTCACTAAGAGGCCCACGGGATGGCCTAGTACTCCCCTATAGTAGAATACCAAGTACTCTAAATCGTTCACCAGTTTTTTTTTAGGGGCGAAGCTCCTTAGGGCGTGGGCTGTGCGTCCCCTATAGCCTGTATGTAGCCACCTCTAGTTTAGTTCTTGCAATGTTCACTAGATGGCGGTACCGTCCCCTGTATGTAGCCACCTCTAGTTTAGTTCTTGCAGTGTTCACTAGATGGCGGTACCGTCTCCTGTATGTAGCCACCTCTCGTTTAGTTCTTGTAGTGTTTACTAGATGGTGGTACTTGTAGCTGATGATGAAAAGATGCAAAATGTTATAAACTAGAAAGCGGTACTTGTAGTTGATGAAAGACGCGAGATCTTATAAAATAGGAATGATGTCACATATGGCGCGTGTCATTGGTTGAAGGCAATCGTTCGATTTAGTGCGGCGACGTACGCTAGGGGGAGCGATGTAATAAAATCAAGTGGGCAAAATGTACAGAGGATTCATGGTTTACCAGGTTTACCTCCGGAGCTTCGCCCACTCATCATCATTCACTTCGTGGATATGGCGGAATTTTTTTTCTAAACACATGTCTGTGTATCTGTTCTGTAGGCCCGCCTCATGCGCGCGCCGCATTCTGCATTAGAGTTTTAATCTCTTTGGCGTGATGTCCCTGGCGGAAGAGATGAAGCACCTTTCCTTCCTCCGTGGGATGAAGCATTAACCTCCTCAGACCTTTTGTCCCAAGGTCATTGGCCAAAATATCCTTTCGATATCCTCGTTAGGTAGCCCGTTCAGCAGAACTATCTCAAGAATTTGGCGGCATGTTGACTGAAAAAAAGGGAAAAAAAAGAGAAAAATCCACTGTGCAACTACAGGGACTTAAGTTGCACTTATAAGCAGCAAAATACCTTGGAAGCTCAGTGTGCGAGTGCCATCCAGCGGTAATGTATGGCTGCACAGAGAGGCTACAAATTGGGGGTTTGTATCTATTCACTAAACACTTACTAGCTGCTCATACAACAAGCCCATGATGGAGGTATTTCTTGTGCTCTAATACATGCACCATCCAGCTGTTATGTATGGTTGCAAACCATAACCAAGGAGGAAAATTACTGTTCATTAGAGTATGCCTGTCGTGCCAAGCTTGTTAGTAGACAAACACTTAACTTCCTTTTTAATTTATAAGTCCAAAGTTGGGAACTACCACACTTAGAACGTTTTTCTGCTAGCCATTGTCATGCCCTACTGATATAATAATCTGTGCAGACTCCAGATTAGTTCATAAGCTGCTGTTTTAGAGCGTCCTTTTGACAGTTGGTAGTGCTTGAAAGAATTGATGACTGTTTCTTTTTTTTTATATGTATAAAAATGTATCTCATTTGATGCTTGACTTTTTTGTTTGTTAATTAGACTGGCTTGTTTTTTTTTTTCGTGTCACCTACGACAAGCAAAGAAAGACTGGCTCAAAGGAAGTATTCGTCTTCTCAGACACTTCACAATCCACTATTGCTGTTTGACATACTCAAAGCTTGCCTTGAGTAATGCTGAGCTTCACACAGTCGTGGCTGCCTCCAGCTTCGCAATGCTTAGCACAAGGTGCAATGCCTGGCTTGTTTCAGTTGCTGTTTCAGGTGGGCTCTCATGGCCATTCAGTGCCGTGGCTTAGCCAGGGGGTGGCACATCGTTAAGTATGGTTAACATTTCGGCAACAGAATCCAAAGCTACGCAGCACTGGCAGCAATCAAATCATTTCAGGGCATGCTGTGAAGCATTCGTGTTAGGCTTGCAGACATCTGAACATGAAAGCGACCAAGTGCTGTACAGCTGCACCAGAAAACGCGATAAAAATGCAGTGACACTGTTCTTTTCAACACCCACCTACTGAAAGCAGCACATGGGTACTCACCTTTATCATTGTGGAATGCCTGCTGCACGTACTCGGCGGCGAATTTGTGGCCTTCGACGTGGTGCTCCACATACTTTTCCAGTGAAGACAGGCCAACGCCGCAACCACCGCAATGCATGGAACTTCATGCATGTTCCACTTTGACGTGACACAGCCTGTTTTTTCTTCGATAAACGGCATACTTCAAATCTCGCAACGACGACAATGATCGCCATTGACAGCTCAACCATTGTCAACCTGCATCATTCCGAAGCGGAGTGACCAAGAACAAACATAGCCGCACAAACCCTGTAGATTTTCTTGCGGCATTGTTATTTTTTCAGGCACAGTATGGTGTAGTAGATAATACGAGCGGCGAGGTGAAAATGGTTAGAGAGAAACTTAATCAACTACGTGACGTACTACTAGGCACTCCGTGGCGACACGGGAAAAATTCAAAACCTACATAGGGAAAAAACATCAAAAAGTCGTCTCAGGTCACGTGGGCGACGTACCAGCATCATTTATAGTTCACTGTGGGAGCCAGACTTGGTGCATGCTACGGTGATACGCATAATGCCAGACCAGGGACGGCACCGCCCGCTGGGCAATATGGCAGCCCCCTTGGCAGAATGAATATCTGCCCTGAACTTGGTTTATGACTGGCATTACAATACAAATGTTATGCAAGGAATCTACATAGCATGTTTACAGCACCATGCAATTTCCTAGCATAAACTTCTTGTTTGAACATCCAGACATTCCAGTCATGCAAATTTACAGGATGTCGGTTTGCAGTTTTTCTCTCCAGGTGCCTCAAAAAATAAAATTTTCATATGCCATGATCTTGCATCCTATCATAGCTTACGTAAAATGAGAAAGAGTTTTCACACATACTTAATCAAATACATTTAAATTATTCAGCATGATGCACTCCACTTTCAATTGTGAATAGCACCCAAGCTTAACAAATACAACTAATCGAAGAAAAAGTAGCAAGACTGAAAAAAGAAACTTTATTTCAGCACATGATAGTCTTTTGCAAAAATAACCATAGAGACACACAAATACACACACTGCAACCTCAACGAGCTATCACAGTATTACTCCATATAACCACACAGGTGGAATGGTATAGAACAGAACTATGCTGTTGAGGTCTGCAAGAAATCATTATATTAAATGCATCATATGAGATTTAGGCCTTCAATAATTTCCTAATTCAGTAGCTTAGCACTGAAAAGCAATGGAATAACCATTCTGATGCTCAATTCTTGAATACAATTCAGTTCATGGTTGTTGGTCATCCTTCGCGTCGTCAGACACAGGAGCTTCAGGGTCATCTGCAGGCAGTGTTGGTTTGGAATACACGGTCGCAGATGATTGCACTGTCTTCGGCATGTAACTGCAAATGCAAAAAAAAACTGTTTTTGTGTACATTCATGCTAAAAAAACATGGTCTTATTAAGATAATTTCCACAAGTTAAACAAATGTTTGTCAGGCAAAACAACAGCCTCTAATCGTGAGAGTTAATTATACAACTCACTGCCTTCCTAGGTTCAAGGTGTATCAGTCGGTATGTAATCGACTCTGTCCTTACTTTGAATTTGTTTTTTCACTATCCCTAACCAACCTGCTTAAAAAAAGTCATGCTTCATAAAATGCAAGTTTTACGTTTAGCAATTCGAATAAACGTAAGGTGTTGGGATGTTACACCCCAACAAACATTGTTATTATTATAAATGTGAGTTTAAAAGGCCAGTAAACAGGCTCAGTATCTTTTTTTTATCTTACACCTTCCACACTCGCTCGCTATTTACGAAGAAAGCCGCGATGGTCACAATTTTGTGATTATCATAGCGCAGCTACTCCATTTCAAAAACCATTTCTGCACCCCTCTCCAGTGCCCTTTCCAATCTTCATAATACGCAAGGGGATGTAATCCTGCCCATGGGCAACATTACACTGCACAGACTTTGTTAATTGGCCCTGCAGTGATGGAGGACCTGCGTTCTTGGCCCTGCGGTGATGCAGCTTTGGTCATTTCGACTGTGCAGTCCACATTCTCATTTTTCTGTGCTGCTATCTGCCATTTTGATAAGAGTATTGAGACTGTTGGAACTTTGTTTTCATCAGTCTTGCAGACGACATTAATCATCATCGTCATTCCTCCTCACGAGCTGGCGCTTTCTCGAGGACACTAAGACATCAGTTCCTTTTGTTTTAGTTCTATTATAGAGCGTTACTTTCGGATGTGCCGCCACTTGTCCCTCCACGACAGCCTGGAAGCCGGCGAACCTTGAGGTCCCCCACATGGTGCCGAAACCCAGTCGGATCTTAGAAACGACGCCAACCTCAATGATTCAATATGTCACACGGTGAACCCTGAACCTTTGGCGAAAAGTTCCCAGCTGCTGACTGAACCATGGAAATGCTATTCCAACGATGCCAGTGCCTCGACTCGCAACTGGATGCCATTGTACAAGAAGCGGAAGGCCTCCTACAGGAACAGGAGCTGTCATCGTCACAGGTCAGCGTTTCGATCAACCGTATTACACGATGTACGATTAATTAACGAAGATCGATGACAGCATGTTAGATGAGACGCCCAAAGAGCTGATCAAGGCAGAAATGATAGACGCAAGCAGTTACGAGGACAAGATTGCCACGCTGACATTAAAGCTTTGCTTTACTATTCAAAACAACCGTGCGTCCCTAGTCTTGCACACGACAACAAGCCAAGCTTCGGTGAGTGTCAGGTCGCGACTGCCACAACTAGAACTGCAGGAATTCAATGGCAAATGACAATAATGGAATCGATGTTGGATCCAATTTTCGACGGCAGTGCACAATAATGATGACCTCAGCGCAGCCGACAATTTCAACTACTTGAGCATGCTTGTCATGAGAGCAGCCGCTGCAGCTATACCCGAACTCCAAGCAAAGGGAGAGTGCTATGAAGACGCAGTAGACATCCTCAAGAAACGCTTCGGAACAACAGGATTATTGTGCAGGAACATTTTTGAAGCCTGTAAGATCTTGGGCCAGTTTTGTCGTCTTTAAGCACCACCCAACCTCAAGTACTGTATGTACAAGTTCATGTGAGGAGTCTGAAAGTATTTGAGACGAGCCCCATTACTTACTGCTCAATGCTGCGGGAAATTTTCTTGCAAGCCTTACCATCAGATTTGGTGCTCCAGTATCACAAACTCCACCCATCGATGACAACAATCACTGCGACATCCACGATGCAGGTGCAAAGAGACCGAAAAAACAGAAAGACAAAATGAAAAGAAAAAGAAGAGCTGGGAGATCTTCTGGGTTTTCTCAAATATCGAATTCATTGCCGAAAAACTCTGACGACATATGCGTCCCTGAAAATGCCAGAAGTCAGTCAGGAAGCTGCAGAGAAACCACGGTGAGCAGGACACTGTAAATTGTCATCAGCAGCAGCTCTATCGAGTGTGCTGGGAAAGCCTGACCTACACCTGTTTCGTAAGTCATCGAAGCATTGCACCGATGTCTGCGAAAACAAAGTACGTTTGACAGACAAGAAGATTCTAACCAAGGCAGGGCGATGTTTTCGATGTCTCAAGCAAGGTCACATGCCAAGAGACTTCAAAGGAAGACAAAAATGCTATGGATGCTCCCGACCCGATGCCATGCTACGACCATGTGAGACCCGGACTTCCAGAAAAGGGTAAATGAAGCATCTGCGACAGCCGTCAACCTTGTCTCCGAACAAGCGAGTCCCAACTGCCTAGATGGCCAGAATAGCCAGAACAATGTCTTCAAAGCTGGGTATTCTTTGACAAGGGAAGTCAGCGAAGCTTCATCACCATCGGAGCATCTCGCCAACTTGACTGCCAGCTGTCGCAAGAGGAAAACTGTCACCATTGAAGTATTTGGAGGTAACAAGACAGATAAAACAATGAGAAGCGTCCGTGTGAGCATTTTTGAGACAACTGCAATGAAGCCGATAGTAATTTAAGCTTTGAAATGGAGGACATCTGTAGTGAGAAATCCAATTTTAGGTGAAGAAGTGAAAAACAAGATAAAGAAAACTGAATTAGACACGCGAGCCGTTTGTCAAAAGGAAGAAAATGACAACACAATTTATTTGCTCGTGGGTTCAGACTACTACTGGCGTCTTATGATTGCGGGACGTGAGAAGCGTGTGCAACAAACGGGAGAATGTAAAGGCGGTGCACACCAAACTAGGATGGACAGTGCAAGGGCCAGTTCCTTTCCCATGGGCCGCTTCTGTTCACTGTTCCACAGTCATTGTGCTTCAAAAGTGTGTAGAATAGGATGACTGTGTTTGGGAGGCTCTCACAGATCTGGAAATTTCACGTGCCAGAGCTGATGAGGATTTTATCTTGGGCAGCAGACTCAAACAGGAATGTTTTGAAAGAAATCGCACGAAAATGGATGGCTGCTACAAATTTCGACAACGCCCTGAAACTAGTGAAGGAAGGAAAAGTTTTCCAATGACCTCAGTCACTTGAAGATGAATGAAACGATCAATCTTGTGTACCTAGACAAAGGATCGGCTGATAGCTCTCCTATGGCACATTGAGCCATGCCGAAAGAAGAGCTTTGTGGGAAACCGGGGGAACCAATGCCACATGCCAATGGGGCATTTCCTACCAAGCAAAAAAAAATCCGATGGAATAACTGACAGAGGACCTACATAACAGAAAACTACTGTTACAGGGATAAGCGGTATTGCCAGAATAAAAGCATCTGAGATGAAGAGGTGTCTCGCGATTTTTCCGTTAGGATAAGACTGCATACTGAGCTAGTGCCTCGTACCCCTTGCACCATGCTTTATCTCTGCACCGTAATGACAAGAGCAACACATGGGGTAAGCCTTACATGATCATTGGCTGCACCGAAGTTGCCTAAGTGGGCATAGTCATGACAAAGGGCTATGCCTACTTCTCTGCACTGCAAAGAAGATGGGGAAGGCTGAGTGAGAAACCGAAACCATTCGAAATGGGCTGTTCTACACTCTGTAACTTCGTTATCACCGCACTTATTCGCAAAGTTCTTGCAGGAGTAGGTTCACATTATACAAGCGCACAGTTATTTCTCTGTTGGAAATTTTAGGCTGTGATGTTGTTTACTGACCCTTTAAAGGTCATACCCATAAAGAAACTCGCATATCATCTCTTTTTCTTAAAAAAAAAAACTTGAGTTATTAGCATATTTTTCCAGTTCTGTTACACTTTATGATGCTGTTTATTATGCCATCAGATTTCCCAAAAATTAAATGTTGGTTTTCTACATTTAGGGTATTAACCAGTGGGCAGGTGGCAGTGTCATTGACTTGCATTTGTCTTAAATGAAGATACAGCAGGACTAGCAGCCACACTGGCGAAAGGCGTCGATGACATGTGCGCCACTTCTCCTAAGGTACAGGTAGTGATATGCGCGATACCGGAGGTACCGGTGCGTGATAGCAACCTGCAAAGAGCGGTTGTCAACGCAAACCAAGAGATGTGGCGGATGAGTCGAGAGAACGGCTTTGAGGTGGTGGAAATAAACAGAGAGGTGCGTAGGTGGGGTGGTTTTCAACGAGACAGAGTTCACTTCGATGGGCGACTAGGTCATGAGGTGGGTTGGCGACTTGCAGGACGCGCAGTAGCTTTTTTGGGGGGCAAGCGAGCCCTTCGGGGTGCAGGATAGCTAGTAACGAGGAAAACAACCAGGGAGACTCTTCGACAGGTGTTATGGACAGATACGATTCCAAAGTGGCAACAATGTCTAAGATAAGTAGAGTTTGGGGCATAAAGAGACGTAGCCACGAGCGCCGAGCCCATTCAGACATAGGGTATATTAACATGCAGGGTGGTAGGAACAGGCTGAAGTGGGAAGAGATAGAAGAACAGCTAAGGGAAAAGAGGTTGATGGTATACGGTTTTGTAGAAACACATCTCGGGGACATGGAACAACCTCCGAACAATCCGGACTACGCGTGGGAATATTGTAATAGAACAGAAGGCTGCAGAAAGGGGGGTGGTATTGGGGCATTCATTCATAAAAGTACAGACTGGCAAAGGGTCAAGCAGGAGTGCAAGGAACATTTATGGCTAAAAGGGAAAGTGGCAGGTCAAATGACACTCCTTGGTTTCGTGTACTTGTGGACGGGAGCAAAGGCCAGAGAGGAAAACCAGGCAATGGTAGAGTGTATATCAAAGGACATTCAGGAGTTGGGAAGAGAGTGCGAGATAATTATACTAGGAGACATGAATGCGCACATAGAAGATATAGATGGGTATACCGACCCGACAGGCAAAATGATCACGGATATGTGTGAAAGGCTTGATTTGATCATTTGCACCAGTACCGAGAAGTGTGAAGGGCAAATAACATGGGAGGTAGGAAGGCTGCAGTCGACG